AGAGCACCCTTACCTGTTTAAATTTTTCTTGTGTTTACTCACTGCGTCTAAAAAAAGTTTAATATGAAATTAAAATGGCTTTCAAAGTACGTTTTTGTTGCGTTATTTCAATTTATTGCATGCACTACTATTATTTTGACCGCAACTGTATCTACTTATATATATATATGTGTACTACATCAAAAGTTGGCAGCTAAACGAAGTTTGTTGCTTACACAAATCGACGCAATGATTCGCTTACATCTACGAAGATATGCACACACACATGCAAATATATATTATATACAGTCAGTACCTAAATTTAGTACACAGCCATGCATGCATGTGTCCATGTGTGTGTGCATCGCAAAAGCTTATTGTCGAATATTTTGAAAAATGCAATAGCATGCTCAAATAAATAGTACACACACACATGCATACGTATGTATGTGTATGTCTGTAGACGCACGTTCCCTACGTGGGAATTTCTCTTTGTTCGCTCCTCATTTTGTTGATTACACTCAGTCGTAGAAATCCCAAAAAATAAATTTCGGTATTTTTGCCCAACTCTAAGAAACAAAGGGAAAATAGTTAATGCCGAGTATGGCTAAGACATCTTGAAAAATAAATCTGATCATGATCTCCTTCTATGCGTTACACATTTCACGACAAAATTATAATACCCTCGCAAGGGTACAAAAAAACCTTACATCAATTAAAAAATTGAATAAGCTCTACATACATACATACTTACAATTTAAGACTAGAACAAAACCCGTGTCAATGTCTCTATTTTTATATAAATACATAATTACTGGCGGTAAAAATAAAATTTATATCAATATGTACAATACCCATGTCGATATGTACTTAACTAAAATGGCACATAACACATGCATAATTTATTTATTTATTCATTATAACGAGATAAACTTTGCTACAAGTTACTAAAAGAACAAATGAAGTAGAGAGCGGAGAAAGAAAAGGTGATAAAGCTCGACTAAGAGATGAAGAGCGAGAGCGAAAGTCAGAGTCAGAGCAGCAGCTATGACAACTGAGAGTGCTCAACTAGGAAATTTATTGAGGAAATTTTAGCCTAACCGTGGATTTTTTTAAGTCGATGAGCTGGCCGATGCTGTGTCCCAGACTTCTACGGCACAAACAATCTAGCTTCCTTCTACACATACATACACAAACTCACACATACACAGGACAAATGCTGCGCACTTAATGGGAAATTATTTTGAGATTTGCTTCGATGTTTATTGGCAGATCTGTGTGTACTTTGCGAGAGTCAAGTACCAAAATTAAATATATGCACCTGCAAATTTCTAAAGTCTCCGAAAATAACAAATTAAGCTAGAAAATATCTGGCTTAGCAACACCGAAAAGCAAAGATAAAGCTTATCAGATAAACTTAACAGCATTTACGAGCTTCAAACTTTTCCTCATATATCTGCAAGGATGTAAGAAATGTGTCCACAAGGATATTTAATCGGCGGTTGCAAGAACCAAAGTAATATATTCTGCTTTCAGATTTAAAAATAGATGCTTTTCTACACAATGAAATTAAAGTAAATTGAATGAATCTGTGTTAAAAGTAATAAGCTATATTTAATATTGATTGCTACTTTGATCTTCACTTTTCTATTTTGATTTTATATTTTGCTGAATGGGACTTTCGCGAATTTGCGTATTGCGTGTTGCGTGTGTCGAGGTTAACCTTCGTCAAAGGCGGACTGTATCTGTGCATTCATTCCAATTTGCATGCCTACATATGTGTATGAGCATGTACATAGTGTGCATATACCCATTTCAATAAACGCATTGTATCCACGTAAGTCTGACGTAATTATTGCACGCATGTGGCCCGATCTGGTCGTCAACTCGCGCATTGCTCGGGCCAAGTTGGGAACGACTTGCAGTTAGATTTGTGTGTGGATTGTTGATGTGGAAAATATTGCCGTTGGGCTCTGGATCTCGTTTTGCGGTCGATGTGGTCCGCTGTCTCGCTAATCGACTGCTTTCCACCGTTAAGTGGCGTTAAGTGCCGCCACAACGAAAAGAAGGGGGAAAAAAACAAAGGGAAAAACAAAGAATTAATCTGATTGGCTTATTGATGAGGTTGATTTTTCTCGCACAAGTTTATTGAGCAAATGCCTCGAGAGATTCACACAGCGCCCGCTTCATTGAAATATTAATGACGCATAATATCAACACATTCGACTTTTGCTGGCATCATAAACAAACCACATAAAATTACATATCGCCCCCCCCCCCCCTCTCTCTCTCTCTCTCTCTCTCTCGTAACATGAGCAGTTGAAGAGTAATGTGAGCACACACACACAGTCAAACATGCGGGCGTTTGACTTTTCGTCACATTGAAAACATCAAATTTTAGTACCGTGCATTCTTGATTGATCTATGAGGGCGGTTCGATCTTCTATCATAGGGATAACCTTATAGGTGTGATTATACCTCTTTTCATATGCCTTGCAAGCAACGTTCACCTTGATGTCCATTTGCTTTAAGGATTACCTTCACCGTTGTCGACAGCAGTTTTCACATAATCCTAAGCAATTTCTCAACATTCAACTTACAACTTTTAACTTTGTAAGCAACAAACGCAATACATATATTTTTCTATAGCTAAGTTTGCAGATGAGAGAGCGAATGCTGATCCAGGCATGGTTGATCCATTCGCAAACTTTTTCAAACTAACGCACTCTAGTTACATAGATAAAGCTGTTTTTTAAATCCTTTTATTACTGAAATTCTTTAAGCTTATGTTTAATATGAGCACTATTGGCAGAAAAATCGAAATGCATTTCAGTTGAGAAGATTGTTATAAAGCTTTAATGATCTGTTTATAGGCTTCTTATCTGCATAATCAGTTCTATGAGTCCCCACAGAAAACGGTAAATGGCAGATGGTAATTGGCGTGCAGTCAATAATGCCTACAATTAAATTGATTATAATGTTATCAATTCTAAACTATTGAGATAGTCTTAGACTGTTATTGTTTTTGTACTACACGACTTGCATAGTGGGATGCAGTACTTTGACAACTTGCTCTATGACGAACGATGACATCACAACTACGTATTCGAGTAAAATCGTACGGTTATGTAGCACGTGGCTGATTGTGGAAAGGATTATACCCTGCAATGTGTAAAATGGGTATGCTGGTTTTGTTCAAATGTATAAACGTATCAATTTCAGAACCTACAAAGGCTAGTCACTAGAAAATACTTAAACGTAGATTCTCCCCAGTTTTACTATGCACCTTGCCCTACATTTAAGCAAACCCCTATTATTATCAGAACAATATATCACTTCAGTATTAGCCTAACAGATCTGCAAAACCGTATCAAATCGGACTACATTATTGTATGGCCTATAAATCTTTGAATATAAGCATATCTGAGCCACATGTCGTTAAGGGTATTTAATCTTCGGCGTGTCGAAAACATTTCCTCCTACTAGCTCATAAGTTAATACATTGCCGGTATATTTTCCGTTAAAAAGTTGTGGTTGGCAGCTCGTTTCAAAAAGGTATTTCATTTTCGATAGATCTTGTTCGCTATTCGTGCTAAGAGTTATCGATAGTTCATGCTGATATCGGATCAGCTGATTCTCCTTGAACAGTGCTGTAAAATGCATTTGTTGTTGTTTTATAATCGTTCAGCTTAGTTTTTATGAAATATATTTGTTTTAAATAAAAATGATTCGCAAATTGCATTGCATATTGCGATTGCATAGCACAGTTAATCAAACCCGCTTTCGACAGCGGGCGCCCACGCTCTTCGCCAGAAATTATGCCACGAACGAAGGCAACGAGAATGCCAATACAGATCCCAAGAGCAGCAAAAAGAACAATGCCGGCTCGTCCAGAAGCTTGCCAGCTATACGAAATCCATTTACAGCCGCGCAGGAGAAGACCAAAAATTCGTATCTGACAATGGTTGAAATCTTTGCGGATCGCGATGTGCACCGGCGGAACCATGTCGAGTTCATATATGCCGCACTCAAGCACATGCCCGAATTTGGTGTCGAGCACGATTTGGAGGTCTACAAGGCGTTGATAGATGTTATGCCCAAGGGCAAGTTCATACCGACCAACCTGTTTCAGGCCGAGTTCATGCACTATCCCAAGCAGCAGCAGTGCATAATCGATTTGCTCGAGCAGATGGAGGACTATGGCGTTATGCCGGACTACGAAATGGAGGCGATGCTGTTGAATGTGTTTGGCAACAAGGGACATCCGCTGCGCAAGTACTGGCGCATGATGTACTGGATGCCCAAATTCAAGAATCTATCGCCATGGCCGCTGCCCGATCCGGTGCCCGATGATACGCTAGAAATCGCCAAGCTGGCCGTGGAGCGCATGTGTACGGTAGATCTGCGCTCCAAAGTTGAGGTGTTCCAAACGAATGAAATCAAAGACTCACTGGATGACACGTGGATTGTGAGTGGCATGAGCCCGGAGCAGACCAAGCTGTTGCGTGAGCACTCCCGCCAGAAGGCGCTCTACATTGAGGGTCCATTTAACATTTGGATACGGAATCGACGGATTAATTACTTTACGCTGCGAGCCGATGCCGATGCTGAGTTTCTGGCGCAATTGGACGAGCAGGAGGTGGATGAGGATGATGTTACCCAGATCGGTGTGCCGTTCTTTGGACGTGCGCCACCGCGTCGCCACAATCAGCTGGGCAAGCTGCGCTCAGTCCACCAGCAGGACGATGGCACCATATTTGCCATCTGCGCGACTGGCACTTCCACCAAGGACTCGCTGCTCTCTTGGATTCGCCTGCTCGAGGTGCACGGCTATGCGGCGCTGGGCGAAATACCCGTACTCTTTAGGTTCACGTCGAGCTTGCCCGACAAGGCCGAGCAAATCGAAGGCCCCGCCAACATGCCAGCGCATGCCAGTGATAGTAGTAGTAGCAATAAGGAGCAGGAGGATGGTAGTAGACCGTAGCGTGTTATTTAAAATAAATTGATTGCTGAGCAACATGTTTGTGGAGTATATTATCGTCTAGTTTTTATTAAGTATTCGTGGGCAAAATTAAAATTCGTACATTATTTTCAATTTGAAATTGCATTGTCTAATGAATCAGTTAATCCGTAACTGTGTTTATATACTGGAGGAATTGAGCTTAAAATAAAAATCACAGAACTCGAAACTAAATGTAAAGAAGATCTGCTACAAATCGAAATTTCTAAACTCTAGTTGTAAATAATATGTACATGTCTACATATGTTATCCGTATTGAGATATATTGATAAGCATTAATAAGTATTAAGCTGTCCACTGGCCAGTCGCCCGTCTATGTTCCAGGTAGAAGAAAGGCTGCTCTACTTCGTGCGTGTCTTGTTAACGGGAAATACTTGGGTGACCACGCCTATGCCCTTGCTAGACATGCCCTCGCGGAACAGTATGCGCATGCCGGGTCGCACATACTCCGGATGTCCAACGAACTCAAACATTACAGACGCTGAGTCATTGGTGCCCAGTTTCTCACCGCCCATTATGCCACGTATAACAGCCGTCTGGCGTATACTACCGATGTGCACCGTGGTCTGAAAGCCCACATAAATCGCTGTTGCATGGAACAGCACCGAGACCTTGGCCTGAAGTGGGAGACAATATTAGTTATTAGAGTGTACATGTTGCATCTGTAGAGACCCGGACCCACCTGAAAGAAATAAGTGCCATACGGTTCGTCAAGGTTGCCGGAGTCACCCAACAGCACCATGCCGCTGCGCAGCGATGGCAGCTCCTGGGTTGGCGTAAACGATAGGGACGCACTTTGGCCAGCGCGCACCACTCGACATGGCGCCTTGTTGCGATGTATGGTATGAACGGTGACTGCATGAAAGCTGCCATCCGGCAGTGGTCCAATTTTCATGGGCATATTTTCGGTGAGCACGCCCTGTACCAGCAGGCCGCCCACAACGGGACCAACGTCGGTTACCCTAAAGATCTCATCAATTTGGAACTCGCAAGGCTCTAGCTCGAGACGATCCTTTTCGGCATTGCTGATGCCCGGCGAGAGCACGTACAGAAATTTGGTGACCAGATTCAGTCCAGTTCCAGTCACATTTGAGACACAAAATATGGGCACAATATTCTCAGATTGCTGATTCGAGCCAGCTGATATAGCCTCATCCGTGTCGGTGACCAGAAACGGCACCTTGCGGCAGCCAATATTTGTGAGCAGTGTGCGCAGCTCCTGCACTGTGGCATCCGGCGATGTAATATCCGTTTTGGTAATCAATATAAAGAAGGGCATGTCAAGGGCGCGCACTATGGCCAGATGCTCCTCGGTGGTGTCATTGCAGCCGCTGCCAGCGGACACCACAAGCATGGCATAGTGAGGCGAGTAGCCGCTCAGCGCCTGAACCGTGGTGCGCATGTAGCGTCGATGGCCAGCCAGGTCCATGAAGGTGACCAGCTTTGTTGAGCGATCGCTTATCTCCTCGGCCGTCATCATTTCATTGTATTTGTAGTTGACCACATTGCCCAAGGCGTCGAATCCTAGAGTTTCATGCGAGATGCAAGAAGTGCGACCTGTGCAGGGACTTGGATTAGTGACTGTGGCTAATAATTAGCTTAAGTTGTTACCTGATTGAATCTCGTGCATGTGCCGAAACATATTTAGGCGTGCGCGTCCATGTCCATTGTCCAGTTCGTCCTGGGTGAGCACACCCAGCAGCGTGGATTTGCCTGCATCGGCGCCACCCAAAACCGCCACGCGCACTTCGATGTTGTGCTGATCGTCGGGTATCTTGCGGACCAGCACCTCGGCAACGGATCGCCGACCGGCAACTGTCTTGCTCCTGAGCACGGATGTGCTGGCGCCCAAATGATGAGCCATTTGCTTGAGCGTAGTCAGAGATGCGTTCATATCCTTCTCGCTAAGGCCCTGCAGATGGCCCGCATCCGAAACACCAATCTCGTAGATCGCCTCGCCGTGACCCTCGCGCAGACGCCATTTCATTTGCGTGACCAAATGCTCGAAACGCTGCTTCGACGGATTGACCAACTTGAGCTTATACTCTACATTGCCCAGCTGTGGCTCAGGCGGCAGGGCGCCCTGCTCAAAGTCAATGATTAGATTGCTGTTGGTTATGTTGTTGCTGTTGTTGTTGTTGTTGTTGCTGCCGCTGTTGTTGATGTTGTTGTTGTTTTTCCTGGTCTTGGTTTTGCTGGCCTTGTTTTTGCTACCATTGACATTGGCATCCACCTCATACTCGCTGCTGCCGCTGCTGTTGCCATTTAGCTCCTGTTCCTCATCGAAGCCATCGTCCGGCTGGTTTGGATCAAAAAGACTAAGAAACGATTCCATATTGTGGCTGCTAACTGTAAATAGAGAGCAAAAAAACAAAGGAAAACCTCACATCATATTTTGTAAACATTTTCGGGCAAGTGCGCCATTTAGAGTACACATTATATTTTTGGCTTGGCCTCTTTCGCTTGCAGCGACCTTGAAACTCTTGTTTATGTACACACACACACACACACACATACATAACACAGAGCAGGTATTTCTGTTCATATATACACTTCATAAATACTTTGATATTAACATTTAATATTTTTACCAATGCTGTAAAATAAACTTGGATATTAAGCGCCTTTTTTTCCTAAATCAGAACGTTTTCCGATCCGAACCGTTGTTGTGCTTCTTGTGTACGATTGTGTCACTGGCACGAAAAAATCGATTTTGGGGACGCTGGCGCTTTGGCCCAGTCTTTACATTCACACATACTCGTGCATATGCATGCGTGTAAATATACGCATATGTACATATACATATATACATATTTCGTTTCTTTTTTTTTTGGCTAAATTGCTTTTGGCTCCTCTTCGCATCTTGTATGTACTTTTTGTGCTTTTTGTTTTCAGCTGCCTTTCGATTTTGTTTATAACTTGTTCTTGCTTTGTGGCAATCGCACGTACAGAACCCCGCAAGAGAGCTTTCTGTTTCTTGTTCTCTACAGTGGGGCATATTCGCACTGCGCTAACTTGACTTTTTATGTGGCTGTATTTATACCAGCGAATTGTAGAGCGCATACAGCAGTCGGTTAAGCCAAGCTTGAATGTACTGCTCGTTATTGGCCCGTGCTTTCTGTATGTTTTTTCGCATTTTGTCGTTGTTGGCACTGCTCCCTGGTTTTCTATACAAATCGCAAGCTTTGTATGTATTTGTTTTGATCAGCTGCGACGACGCTGAATGAATAAGTCAGATAACAAATTTGCACTTCAGGCGTAATTATCTTTTGTTTTTATTTATTTCAAAGAAAGCTTTCGATGGGAATTACGTATGTATATCAATATGCTCGAATGAATACGTGTCAATTTTATATAAATAAACAGTTGTAAATACCACAACCATATATGTACGTAAACAGACGCATATAAATAATTACTATATATGTATATTTAAACAAAAAAACATACAAGACGGGCTTGTCGAGCCCCCCATTCAGCATATGTAATGCATATGTACATATTTCATCATACTTACATTTCACAATAGATGGCAAATCGGATTGAATCAAACCAGTTTTATGCGCGCAGTTTTTTGTGCAATTTATGTTGACGAATAATGCACTCGGATTGCGTGAGACGCTTTGTTTTAATGTATGCCTATGATAAATTTAACAGAAATATACTATTACGTCGCCATTGGACACTATGCACTTATAATTTGGGAATTTGGCGCCAAGAAACACCTACAAACAAAAAGAACTATACTGCCTCGATTACATTATTATTTGCAAATCAGCTTGTCTGGGCTAAGCAAGTGTAAAAACTAATATGGGATACTTAGCGTAGTCCCTCTTTTACTTTTATTTCATTTTGCTAATAATTATCGATAACAAATCAGCTGAAAATCGCAACAACTACAACAGAGTGACCAGTTTCTTCAGAAAAACATGTCTACTGCGTAAATAGAGCAAAATGAGCTCCAATGTTCATTCCCAATAAAATGTTAGAACTATTTAAAATAAATTGTTTTTTTGCTGTATGAACTAGTTTGATTTCAATAAATAAAAATGTAAGCCCCTTAAAGCGACCCTGTTTTTTGGTTGGCAATAAAGCGGAAACACACCAATGTGATTTTGACGTGCTATTAAAAGTCAACTTAACAAAACAAATATTTTAAAACAAATAATTGATATGCTTTATTGACTTAAACCAGTTCAACTTTAATCAAAATCAATTAACCCGCCAAACCTATTTTTACCATTCACCAAAGCAGCTTTCAATTGGTGCTGCCAACTTGACTGGATTAGAAAAACACTGCTGCAGCCAATTTAAATACTTGCTTATCAGCCTTAGTTTCGAATCGTCTTGAGGAACACGTTGCTAAGTAAACATGCCTATCGTCTACCGCGGAACGATTGTGCACACCAAATCTATTGACGAATTTGAGTCTTTCAACCAAGGCTTTATTGCTGTTGAAGATGGAAAGGTAAATATTAATTATATTGTATGAGTATTCAATTACGTTTGACTTAAGTAATAATTTACTTAACTAGAAGATTTGTTTCTTCGTGGAATAGTTATTGATTAAATGTTCCCATTTAGATTATTGGCATTGGCAATGATTACCAGAATTGGTTGTCGACCGCAAAGATCGATCCCAACACGTTAACCGAAGTGCGGCTGTCGGAATTTCAGTTCCTCTCTCCCGGCTTTTGTGATGCGCACATTCATGCCCCACAATATGCCCAAATTGGCCTTGGAATGAGTGTACCGCTGCTGGACTGGCTAAATAGATACACATTTCCAACTGAAGCCAAATATGTTGACCAAGAATTTGCGCTGGAGATCTACAGGGCTGTTGTCGTAAGTATAGCTGCAGCTACATTTTATCATTATTATTTTAAGTTTATATGCACAAATAGACTCGAATCATATGGCTCGTTTCCACACACACACGCATACGAGTACACTTAACGATAGTGTGATTGCCGATCTTTAACGATGGGTTCTCACTCTCTCACACACACACACGCGCAGTTACATCAGCTGATAACTTAATACTCTATAGGAAGCTGCGCTACGTTGTGGAACCACATTGGCTTCCTATTTTGCAACCAACGACTTGAATTCCACGCTCATTTTAGCTAAGGAAGCAGCTCGTCAAGGTCAGCGGGCATTGATTGGCAAGGTCTGTTCTAATTGCAACAGTCCCGACTTCTATGTGTGAGTGTGAGGCATTGCAGTTGATTGAGCTCAATTAAGAAAACTATTATTTGCTTGCAGGGAATCGACGAACGAATCGGTTAAGGGAACCGAGGAATTTGTTTCGGCAATACGCAAGCTTGAGAATCCCCTGGTGCTGCCGACAATAACGCCACGATTTGCGCTTAGCTGCAGCAAGGAGCTATTGCAGAGATTGGGCGACATAGCCAAGAGCCAGGATGTGCATGTGCAGAGTCACATTAGCGAGAATCTGGAAGAGATCAAGGTGGTGAAGGATATTTTTAAAACCAGCTATGCAGGCGCCTATGATGATGCGGGACTGTTGACCAAAAAGGTGTGTAGCATTTCAAGGCAAACCTCACGTTCAAATAATCTGAGCTTTTCCCACAGACTGTCATGGCGCACGGAGTGCATCTGGAGGATGACGAAATTGCATTGCTCAGAGAGCGTGGAACCGCCATTATACATTGTCCTGCTTCCAATACGAATCTGAATTCGGGCTTATGCGATGTGCAACGTCTTATCAAAGCTGGAATAACTGTGGGCCTAGGAACTGATGTGTCTGGTGGAAATTCCGTATCTATTCTGAATGCCATACAGCGGACTTTAGATGTTTCCAAGCATCTGGAGTTTTTCAAGAAGCAGCACATTTGCGGCACGGGGCCAGCCAAAGTTCAGGATAACGACTACCAGCAGTTGTCCTACAAACAGGCTTTCTATTTGGCCACCTTGGGTGGCGCCAAGGCATTGGCACTGGATCACATTACTGGAAACTTTGCTGTTGGCAAAGATTTTGATGCTCTTCTTGTGGACGTAAGCGTGCTGGAGAAACCACATCGTACGCTTACCGTAGACGAGCTGTTGGAGAAATTTATCTTTACTGCCGACGATCGCAACATAACAGCCGTATTTGTGGCTGGCAAGCAGGTCAAAGGATCAAAGTTACAGTCCAGGAAAGAAAAGAATGGTTCCTAACAGTACCATTTCACAGGGAAATGCATAGAGAATTTATTACTTAGTTTTGTGTATTATGCATGGATCGATTTAAATGCTGGAAATAAAGGGCTGTTTTGGAGTAACAATAAATCAGAGGTTTTACATCCTAATTAGTATAGTTGGATTGGTCTACCACACATATCATTATTTTTTACAAACAGTTATATATGTACTCGTATATATATATATATATATATATTTAATTATTTAAACTTATTCAGTTTCCATATCTGCATAGGCGTGTTTATAATCACATATTGGGTTGGGAACAGGTCATTTTTGTTTTGAACGCCAATTATAATTGAGCTGTTGATTGAGTATATATCGAATCGTTTGTCAAACAAATAATAGCTATAGCGTGCACAGATGAAAGCTGCTTTAAGGATAATGATCATCGTCAGATCCTTAAATGTATTATCAACAGCTTCTGCTGTGCACACTATTTCCGTGTATTGAATACAGTTTTTCTTCTATGCTCAAAAACAATATTGTTTTAGCGCATATATATGGGAATGTGGGCGCATAAGATTTAATTACAAAATTAAGTAAATTGTCCGTAAATATTTTGGAATTTCAAACCGGGTTCATTTTGGGCTAACTAAAATGTGTATGCCTTATGCGGCATATACACAAATACTTTTACTTTACACATTAAAGCTTAAACTCTTAAATGGCTTTATACTAGTTTTTAGCTAATAGAAGGATTGTTAAAACTATATACATGTATATGTATACATATTATAGTTTTAGGACGCATTTTATGCATTGAACATGTTTTGCTGCGTGGCATCGTTCTCAAAATCCGTCCAAGCATTATTTAATTCAATAAAAATGAGCTTGGCGATTTCCTCGTGCTCCGTCCCATTATGCTGTAAATATTTATGTATAAAAATTAAAAAACTTTTCGACTATTAATCAGTGTACATACTTTATCGGGATGCACGGCCAGGCAGGCACGTCGATAGGCCTTTTTTACCTCAGCCGGCGTTACCATGGTGGACATTTCGCAGCGCTTCCATTTGGCATTCTCCCAGAGCACCGTATGCATAGAGCACAGCAAGGCGCGTATGTTGTTCTTCTTGCCATCGGTCTGTAATTCCAATATTAATCAATATAATAAATCCTAGTTTTAAGTTAATAGTTTTACGCTTACCCATTCCATTATGAGCACTTTCTTGGGATCCATATCTTTGACCAGCTCCTCTTTGCGCATTTCGTTGATGGAGCGTGGACCCTGATGCATTTTGCTACCAAACGAGTAGCCCTGTTGTCCCAGAATATCCGCAAAAATGTCGGAGCTCTTAGGACCACCTCCAGCAGCCGAAGACTTTGGCGCATCAAAGTGGGTGCGGCTGTAGTCGGGACGTGACGGTGCAGCCTGTGGTTGCGGCTGCGGTGGGGTCCTGGCAAACGCGGGCTGTGCCTGCGGTTGAGGTTTTGCTTGTGCCTGAGGCTGAGTCTGTGGTTGACTCGGGGCCGGTTTGTGCGTTGGACTCGTATATTGTGTGGCCTGCGGACTCTGACCAACGGGCGTGCTTCCCGCCGATTTGGCGCCAAGCGTGCTACGGTTAAAGTTTAAGTTCAGATCCGAAGCCAGGTTGGCAATGTCAGCAAATGGATCTAAAGGTTTTTGTGGTTGCGTAGGCGATGGTTCCTTTCTGGGTGCAGCTGGTGTCGTCACAAAGGTGGGTACCGAGCCTATAAAAGGTGGCAGGTTTGTGCTAGTGGTTGGTTTTAGGTTGGCAGCGCCGATCCCACCACTTTGATCAATAGAGCCGAATATATCAAAAAGATCTGAATTGATTTTGGGCTGTGGCGCAGCTTGTGGCGGCGGCAGCACATCCGGAATGGGTGCTGATCCAATGCCTGTGGAGTCATCATCTCCAAACGCGCCTAACAGATCGAAGCTGGCATCTGAGCTGGGCATGGCGCTTGCTAGCGGATCAGCGGCAGCCGCTGAGGCGCCTGCACTTGGCTGCTGATTCAGATTGAGCAAGTCAATAGGCGGCGAGGGTTCTGGCATTGCTGCCGGCGCATCGTGAGCAATTTCCGTGACATCGGGTAGCACCAGCGGTGAGCTAGAACGCTCCGGCTTTGTAAAAGACGGTGGCGGCGGTGAGGATCGTGTTGTGGGCTTTGTTACTGCAAACCAGAGAGATTTCAATCAAATTGATCTTGATGAATTTAAGCTAGGTGGGCTTACCAAAATTATCCAGCATCTCGACATACTCCAAATCGGAGCTAAATAAGCTTTGCGCAGCACGCTTAGCCTTGGCTGGCAGCCACGGCGGCTTGTGGCTGGGCGGAGTCTCCGTTTCCGTAACGCTCAACGAGAGCGATACACAAAAGTTTGGCGGCACCTGCTCTGGATCAGGCAGATCATCGAGATCATGAGCGTTGAACGTAATTAGTGTCTCTGGCTCGGGCACAAAGCCAGTATTTATTTGAAACTGACAAATCTTGAGGCCCTGCGGACGCACCATGCCCTTTAACGCATTTCGCGCATGATACAATACCACGGTCAAATCGCCGCAAACTGTTAAATTGATGGGCAAGACAATTTTCCCAGGACCCGCGAGGTAGAGGCTGAAAGGGAAA